CAACAAGCTGGGTACTAATTTTACTGAGCTATGGAAGGGTGGAAAGCTGAATGGACCTTGGAGCCCTCCTCTAGGATCAAACTTACAATGTTATGGCTGCAGTACTAGCATTTATCACTGCACCACCAGGGCTCTTTATCTGTGTTGTCCACTTCCACTGAATGGAAAACCTGCCAAATTGGCTCAGACTGGTCTATACTCCCATTGTGAGGTAAATATCTATACTGGTTGGCTTTGCCCAACTCCATTGTCTGCTTTGCTTAGACCACTTATCAGAACCTGAATCACCTCTGTCCTCTGCAAGCACATGCTTTGATTTTTAAAACTTTCATGAGATCATTTTTCCCCATCAAGAGGTGGTCTCTTCATTCTTAGGAGAACACCCATGAAGTTAGAAAGACACACAGAGAGAATCAGTCTCTCTTTGACCTATCCTCTCTTTGACTTGCTACTCCAGTCATGTCGAACAGTGAGGAAATCCATGTGTATCAAAGGCCTGAAATGCACTGGCCAAATAAGGCAGCTTCTGGCCACTTTGGGGGTGTGATGTTTACATGACTCACATCCCCAAAGTAGCCAGAAGCCATTCCATGGCTGCACTAAGGTGGGGGGGGGGGGGGAAGTTGGATTCTTAAGGAGCAGAAATAATCAGGTCCTACTGGTGGCCAGCTTAGGACTGTGGTGGTGGCCCATTTCAGGAGCAGGCCATGCAGTCGCTGTGGTCCCAGCCTGATTATAGCTGGACTAGCAAGAGGCTGCTCCTTCCAGGCCATGTGCTTCAGCCCACTGTCTGTAAATCCCTTAAGCTTAGTTACACCCCTCTACTCCACTCTCCCTAGATTTGTTAGAATTGGCTGGGTTTTAGGTACCATGCTGTTTTGCCTTCTTTTACTTTGAGAAACAGCTTACATTGATTATAGACTGTTCTGTTGGTTTCTGCTGCTATCTTTTTCTCTCTTTTTAATTAAAAAATTGTTTTTCCTGCAAAATCTACTTGTCCTTCTACCTGATTTTTACTTGGAATCACTTTGGTTAATTGTTCAGTTTTAAAGCCATCTGCCTTAAGATCCTGGAGTAAGCTAGTGCCTAAAATATCCCCCCTCCCCACATGGTGCATGGCTCTTAACACATGCTCTCATTTAAAACAATAAGAAAAAAGAGTTGCCATAGCTTCAGTTAATGTTCAAAAACAAGAGGTGGTAGTGGTAGTGGTGGAGGTGGTGAAGGAGGAGGAGGCAGACATCCCCAAGAACAATGTTTCTTCAGGCCCCTATTTCATTGCATTTTAGTATTACACAGTCAAGCCCTAGTATATAAAGCGGGCCCTTGGTATCTGCAGGGGATTCATTCTGGACACACACACACACACACACACCACTGATACCAAAATCTGCAGATGCTCAAGTTCCATAGTACTCAATAATAACAACAACACCTTGCCCCCACCCTCCCGCCCCAGTGCCAGCCTCACTGCTTTTACTGTGGCAGGCAGTGTGGGGGTACCTCTTCTTCCTCCTCTTCTCCACTCTTCTTCTTACTCTTCCCCAGTTGCTGTTGTCATGGCTGTTCCTACTCTTACCCCACCTCCTTCACCTTCCTCCTCCTCCTCTTTCCCCCTCCATCACCCTGCTGCGGCTCGTCCTCCTTTTCGTTTCTCCCCCTCTTCTCCACTCTTCCTCATCCTCATCCTCCTCCATCACTGCACCCCATGGGCTTGCCATCCGCAGATGCTCAAATCCACAGATGGCAAGTCCACAGAAAGGGAAGGTGGACTGTATACATTCTGAACTATAAGACCCTTGTGAAGTGTTAATTATGCTATTCCCTACTGAGGGATGCCACTCCAAAACACACATAGTTGTATTTAAAAACAAACAAACAACCCCCCCAAACCTCAAGGTGCATGTATTATAATAGAACTACATTTCATAATAAATCAGTGGGATTGTTTTTTGTTTTGTTTTTTAAACATTATTTGATATCTCCTTTCTTTTCATACATGCATACATACCAATACATGTTTTATCTGAACAGTGTTATTTGGTAGGTTATGCCATGAAAATGGGTCCTAAAATATATATGGGATGAATGTGCCTTCAGTTGAGGGAAAACAAATAGCAGCCAAGCACCCCTCAATTGTATCTGTGTACCAGAGGTTGGGGAGAGCCACTCCCTCTAGATTCCAACGTCCCTTGCTCTGGTTTCTGATGAGGAAGAAAAACATCTGGGTAGACCTCCATCATGCCTGGGACCCAGCAGCTGGTGAGAACTCCTCCATTTTGATTCCAGGCACCATCATTCTAGCCTTTGAAGAGGAAGAAGATCAGCTAGGCAGTCATCCACTGTTTCTGGGCCCCAACAGCTGGTGAAAAACTCTCCCTTCTGAACCTAGCTACCCTTATTCTGGTCTTGGAGGGAAATAAAAAATATCTAGCATCTGATTAATCTCCTTCTTACTGCTATCACCTTTTTCTTGTGTGCCCTGTCTTATCTGAATTGTGAGTATATGTAACTGTCAGATAACTGTTTGTAAGCCAGTATGGGAGCCTTTTGGGTAAAGGACAAGCTATTGCTATAATAACAACTGCATAAAATGTGGAAAATGTGTCTTCAGCAGAAGGAACAAGAAAAGTTCTAAAATTATTTAATTAAGTCTTTTATAAGAGAAAAAAATAACCATCATTTAGAGGGCATCAGTAACATATTTATCTGATATGTATTGAAAGAATCAAGGAACATACCCTAAGCACTTTTGTGGTAACTATATGGAATAGTCTTTGTGTACAGGCTACAATTACACTAGCTCATTCAAAATAAAATTATTTTCCTAAGCAGATAACATTTTCTCCCCACTCTATCTTCATTGCTTAGATTAGGCTCTCTCTCTCTCTCTGATCATTTTTAAACTATTCAGTCCCACAAATTTCTCAAGCAACTTTTGAAGTATGTGGATAGGTATCTTCTTTACTACATCAGCCTTTTGTTGCCAAGCTGGGAAATCTGCCCTCCAGGAGTTCAACTTAATTAAAGGTTTCCATCAAACTCAGCAAACCCAAAGACAAAAGCTCCCTTGCAGCAGTCATCTGACTTTTACAATCTGCTTTCTCATATATATATATATATATATATATATATATATATATA